GGCGTATGGGCATGGTTTCTGTGTCCTGGCCGCAGGACACACTGGAGTCACTGCAGGGCAGGCCTGGCTCAGTCCCCAGTTTCATGGAAGGAATACAACTGAAAGCCAGAGGTCCGAGCTTTCCATCTTGAGCCTACCTTTTTTTTTTTTTTTTTTTTTCAGAGACAGAGTTTCACTCTTGTCGCTTAGGCTGGAGTGCAATGGCACGATCTTGGCTCACTGCAACCTCTACCTCCCGGATTCAAGCAATTCTCCTGCCTCAGTCTCCCAAGTAGCTGGAACTACAGGCGTGTGCCACCACGCCTGGCTAATGTTTTGTATTTTTAGTAGAGATGAGGTTTCACCGTGTTAACCAGGCTGGTCTCAAACTCCTGACCTCAGGTGATCTGCCCACCTTGACCTCCCAAAGTGCCGGGATTACAGGCGTGAGCCACCACACCTGGCCGAGCCTACTTTTTACAAGCGACGGGAGCCTCATTTTCCCCACTTGTAAAATGGACTACCAATCAATCTGTACCTTGTTGTGAAGCTAAAATGGACTACAATTACCCTGTGAAAGGGCTTGGCACTGACAGGATACTCAATAGATGATTTCCACTGCCCCATCCTGTAGGGTAGCCAGTGGATTTTGGTAACCAGGGGATTCTGGCCAGGGCAGACGGCCTGCGTGATCCAAGGCTGGCTTTGGGATCTGCACCTCAGAGCAGGAGGGTCTCGGGAAGGGCCTACCTTGTGGGCCTTGAGGAAGTGAAAGTAATGATTAAAAAAAACAGCATTAATGCTACTGAACTTTTCAGCAATGTGGCAACACTTGGAAGTAATCCATCAGAATGCCCACAGAAAATTTCTGTAATTACTATAATTACTTCTTCCTAGCTCTGATAGAAGTTAGGCCTCTCTGGCAAATGATTAAAAAAAAAAAAACGTGTGTGTTATCTTCTCTGCTAGTGAAAGTAACTGATGGTCATTATAAAAATATATGAATGTACTAAAACAATTTAAAAATCACTCATCATCTGTCTCCTTTCAGTTTCCCTCCCCAAGACAACACACATTAATGTTTTAGTGGGTTTTCCTTTCAGTCCTTTTAAGGCGCACGTGTGCACGCGTGCACGCACACACACACACACACAAATACATTTTTTTTCCTGTCTCCTTTTCTCTCCTTTTTTTTTCTTCAGGAAAGGGTTTCACTCTGTCTCTCAGGCTGGAGTACAGTGGCACAATCTCAGCTCACTGCAGCCTTGACCTCCTAGGCTTAAATGATCCTCCTGCCTCAGCCTCTTGAGTAGCTGCTAGGACTACAGGTGCACACCAGCAGGCCTGGGTAATTTTTAAATTTTTTTTGTAGACACAAGGGTCTTACCATGTTGTCCCAGGCTGGTCTTTAACTCCTGGGCTCAAGTGATCCTCCTGCCTCAGCCTCTGGAGGTGCTGGGATTATAGGCGTGAGACACCAGGCTGGGGAAAATATTCTTTAAATGCATATTGAAGCTGGGCATGGTGGTGCACGCCTCCAGCTACTGAAGAGACTGAGGTGGGAAGATCACTTGAGGCCAGGAGTTTGAGACCAGCCTGGGCAACATAGTGAGACCCTATCTTTTTTTTTTTTTTTGGAGATGGGTTCTCACTCTGTCGCCCAGGCTGGAGTGCAGTGGTGCAATCTTGGCTCACTGCAACCTCCACCTCCCGGGTTCAAGCAATTCTCCTGTCTAAGCCTCCAAAGTAGCTGGGACTACAGGTGCTCACCACTACGCCTGGCTAATTTTTGTATTTTTAATAGAGATGGGGTTTCACCATATTAGTCAGGCTGGTCTCAAACTCCTGACCTCAGGTGATCCACCTGTCTCAGCCTCCCAAAGTGCTGGCATTACAGGCTTGAGCCACTGCACCTAGCTATTTTTAAAAATGAAATATCTGGGTACCTATAGTTACAAGATTACAAAGGTTTTTTTTCTAATTGTTAGAAAACCATTTTGTGTCAGAACACATGGAAAGCAATCCTTTGTCCAAACCCTTCCTTTTTGCCCCTGCCTTCTGGCTTGTCCTCAGCCCAGCCCCGTCCTTGGGTCACACAGCTCTGCCACCCTGCTCTGCAATTCCACGGAGCCTTTCCCAGGCTGGAGAGCTGAGCCCCAAACAACAAATAGGTGAAGACAAAGGGAGCAGGAGGCCGTCGCTGGCCTCACTCACCTGTCTGAGGAACCGACTGTTGACGAGGTCAACCACAAGGACCTATGAGATGAGAGGAGAGGGACTGTCACTGTCACCAGGGCTTCTGGGATAGGGATGGACTCGTAGCCTTCTTCCTTCTTGGCATGCAGAGAGGCAGCTGGGGCGGGACTGGGGGTGAGCCATGTGTGGTTTCCTGATATTGCCACAGTAGCCACAGATAATGAAGAGCAGGGCTGGGGAGGGTCCTTCCTGAACTGCCTGCTTTCAACACTGACACCGCAGGCTGGGACACGTGTGTGCTGTGGCCGGACTCTCCGCCTGGCTCACACTGGCTGAGGCAGAGCTTCTCATGCTGCCTTCTAGGGTGTGGGCTACTGAGGTGGGCCAAAGACACTACAGGCCTCCCTGGTTCCCACCCTGGGGCCGCTGCCTTGTCCTTCCCCCAGCTGCCCACTTAACCGTGTCATTTCTGTCCAGCGGAGAGGAGGAGGGAAACCCACCTGAGACTCGGTTAGGCTTTGGGCTTTCACTGCTGAAGCCTTTCAGGATAAAGCACTTCCTCCCTCACTCCTCAGAGTGAGAATGAGACTTGGGCCAGGACCAGGGTGGGGCAAGTGAGGTGCCTGGGGCGCAAAGGCCACACAAGGGCTGCTACTCCTGAGAGCACGACCCTCACTCAGACCCCAGCCAAGGCCACTGGCCATGATGGAGGAGGAGCCAGGGGCCTGGATGGTCACCATAACAACAGCTGGAAACACAGGAGTTCTCCCATATCCCAGACACCTGCCCAGGAGCAGAGGGCCACCTCTCCTTCCTTCCCACTCACACCCTCTGGGGATGAACTGAGCCACCTGCAGGAGCACAGGGCGCCAGACGAACTCCTGGCGGCCCTCAAGCCTGCACTGGAAGTCCTAAGGCCGGTGGGTGGTGTTTAATGGGGCATTAGGACTATCTGGGCAATTCGAGGAGCCGCTTCTAGGCACCCAGACAGAACTGCAGGACGCAGGGACAGGCGTTCCTCCTGGCACTTCAGGGCTGAGCAACATTATTTAAGCTTCCCTCTCCGACTGCTGGAAGTCCCCAGTCCTCAGGGTCGACACCATTTAGAAGAAGGGGCTGGGGCTAAGTAACTCCACAAGTGCCAAGCAGGACTTTCCCCGCTTCGATGCTAAACTGGACACCCAGAACTTGGGGATTAAAAACATTTTTAACGGATATGACAAAGGACCGGATCTTGCTAGCTCCTCAGTGTGGGGGAGTGGGCGGGAGGGCAGGGGAGAGCAGAGGGCTATTCATGACTTAAGAGTTTCGACATCTGGCTAAATTGTTCGTTGCTGACCTTCTCAAGGGGTGCTCATACCAGGCATTTCATTTGGAAGGGAAAACAGTGTTTGCAGTCACTGAGGGTCTGACTGAGTCAGCCTCTGGGCAGGACACATGCCAGACAAAGCCCTGGTGGCCCCTGCGCCCTGCTCCCCAACACTGCTGGCTCTGAGAACTGCTCCATGATGCCTGCAGGGCCAGCACCCTGCTCTGTTCTCCGCACCCTGCAGGGAGGGGGACAGGGCCAAGTGGGAGCTCACCTCTTCCAGCGGCAGCTCCCTGAGCAGGGGCAGAGAGCTGGAGAGCAGCCCGATGAGGAAGGGCGTTGGCGAGCACACGATGTCGACCATGGCGGGTGGCAGCACCGGGATGTAGGTGTGCTGCCAGGTGAAGGGGTAGATCAGCGCCACCATTGCGTGGCAGCACTTGGACAGGGTACTGCAGCCAGGGAGAGAACAGGGAGAGAGGCCGGCTCAGCGAGGGCCCAGGGAAGCCTCCAGGGGAGAAGGCTCCTCCCAGAGGCAGGATGATTAGGAAAGGACACACGTGGATGGGGCATAGCACGCATAGCA